TATTCAATATGAACAAATTAATCAACAAAGAAAACCCATGTTTGGGCTAAAAATCGTGTATTGAATACAAATATATTGTGTAAAACTTTTAATTTTTGTGAAAATGGGTATAACAACAATTGCTCTTATTGTTTAAAAATACAATTTTAATAATGAAGTTTGTATTCAAAAACAATCGGATTGTCGAATCACATATGGTAATTTTTGTAGGATATGTTCTTCGGGTGTTATAATTCTATTTTGTGATGTTTGTCTTTTACATTATATTTACAGTGATGGAATTTTTGAGAACAAATGCTTGGTATGTGACACAAAAACAATATTAGTTAATTGGATATGTAAAAATTCATAAAAAGTATAACAAACAAAGAAAAAATGATTTTATGTTACAAAGGTTCATACATAGATAATAATATTTGTTACAATTGTTTAGATAAAGGTAATCAATATTCAAAATTTTCAAAATGAAAGTAACACAACGTGAAGCTAATTGTTATATCAGTGCAAATAAAAACAAATGTATTACTAATCAATGCAACAACACTGAAATAAAAAAGAAATAATTAATAAATTACTAAAATACCCAATTGTTATTATTCTTTTAATTCTTAATGATTGGCATATTCAGATTATTGTTATTTGGATTCGAAATATAATTGTTTTTTTTCTAAATAATATCAATTTTACTTATAATTGTAAAACAACAATTTACTTTGATTGTATTATAAAGTGTAAATGTGTGTTACTCTGAGTCAAATTAAACGTGTTCGGAGTGTAATAATTTTTTATGTCAAACGTGTTATTTTTTTCATATCGTTCGACATGTGATGAATGCAAATCCCTATCATAACATGAATGCAAGTCAAGTGATAAATTGATTGGAAAATGTAACAGATTTATTACAACAAGATGGTGTAGTGAATGTTTAGACTGATATTACAAAAATGGTATAAACTGCTTTGATTGTGACATCTTGTACTCTTCTTGTATTTTTTTCATCAACAAAATGTCTTCAATTTAATTCAACAAACTTTAAAACGACTTCAAGAAATTGTCTACCCCGTTTACTTTTATCAGAGAGTTGTAATGTTGAAGTGACAGAAAGTGGGTGTTCAAAATGTAAAGATGGGTATAACCAAATCGACTCAAATCAATGTCAAAATTGCGACAGTATTTGCCACACTTGTAACTCTCTAAATTTGTGTCTGACATGTTTCTCTGACAAAATATAAGTCAATTCTTTGTTTTAATCACATTTTTTTTTATTTAAAACTGTCAAGCAGTCTCTCGTTCAAAATGTTCCATATAAACCTTTTGGAACACTTCGAGCCAATGTGGCATTTTTGTATTAAGAAAGCTGTGTGATGGTTCATCTTTATTTTTATTTTGTTTACTGTATTATTGTTATCAATATTTTTATCATATTTATTTATTCAATAAAGGTTTATTCGAAGTATTCGAAAGATCAACAAACAAAATGGCATTAGTATATTCTCGATGAAAAAATCGTTATATCTTTTTAAAAACTACAAACAAAAACATCGTGTCACGTAAACTGAAATTGTTATTGAAAATGAAAATAAAAAGAGATTCCAGTGGCTGCTGAAAGTCAATGTGAATCAATATGTGTTGGCGATGTCAATAATAACATATATATAGTGCAATTTTTTTCTCTTAATAATTTGATAGATTAATGCTCAAAACGAGTCGAACCACAATTTGTTGTTATTAAGATAGGTACCACGGTTGTATTTGTAATATATTTGAACCCAAAATAATCATGTATAATTAATGAAAAAATAGTGTTAATATCATTAAATAAAATAATGTATAAAAAATGAAATATCAATAGATGTAAAATCAGAAACACAAATTTCAACTCGTTAAGGTCCCGAAAAATTGAACGAAAGAAATAGATCGACGAAGCATTTTGGAATTGTTATAATAGGATTTTTCTGAGGAAACATTGATGAATTAAAGAAAATGAAATTAAATGTAAATGATATTTAGTCACTTCAGGAGTTTGTGAAAGAATTTTCCATGTTGGACAAATTCGGGAGTGAATATTTAGTCCACTTCTATAGCGCAGTATTTATTCCAAATATGATATGTATGTCCACTGAATTTGCTCAATTTCGAGATATGCATAACTTAATGAAAAATAAGAAAAATTCCGAAGAAATTGACATAAAAATACCAGTCAAAATGATGTTAGATTCTTCAAAAA